CCCACTATCCCAGGTTGCTCCAAGCCCCGTCCAACCTGGCCTTGGACACTTCCAGGGATGGGGCAGCCACAGCTGCTCTGGGCAATCTGGTCAAACCCCTTTGCTCAGAGAGCACGAGTATGAGTTTCAGTCCCCAGCAAATGTAACACCACAATCTTCATCAAAGAGAGGGAGGCAAGAGAAGAGGCTATTGCACTTCAGTGGGATATTCCAAAATAGTTTGCTTTTTCCTCATGGCACAGGAAAATACTGAGCTTTGAAGTGAAATGCAGTGCAGAACACTGAGGAGTGGTGGCTCCTGCAAGCATCTGGAAAACTGGATCCTAGTCAAAAGTGACATAATTCAACCCTCTTTGTGAGAGTTCAAAGCCCAGAAAAAGCCCAATCTCTGCTTATCTGGTGAGCTTTGTAACCAACAGAGAAGGTACAGTGTGTCTCCAGATTCAGCAAAAAACCCCTAATATCTTTTCAAAATGACTGGTTACTGATTGTGAGTGTTCTGCATGACTGTCCAGAGAGAAGAAAAATGTCCTTAGGAACAGTCTCCACAATCATCCATAATAACAGCACAAGGCATCATCTTCAGAAAATGTGCAGCTTCCCCCTGACCTGCCTGAGGAGACTGGAAGTGTCTCTGTGACGAGATCCAGAGCCTGAGACTTGAAACCCATTTGGATAAGAAGGAAAATGTAAAAAATGTATCTTCTAAAGAAAAGGAGATTGGTATGACAGCTCCTGAACGAATTGGGTCCCAGGGTTTACAGAGCCCATCAGCTCATCTCTCTGCTTCATATTTGGTGGTTTTCCATCTGCAGGAAAAACTGAAGCACCATCATTTAGGATGAACTTTGTCCACTTCATGATGGATGAAGTTATTGCATCAAAGGAGGCTGACAGATGAAGGGAGACTAGAACTGGGTTTGCTGCTGTGCTTTCCATGCTGCTGTTTATTCTAAAATCTTCAATAATGGGCAAAAATCTGACAAAGCAGAAAATCCCCAGCTGTCCTGAGCTCATCTACCACTTGCACAGCTGCTTAGAGAAGAGAACCTGCTTGGCTGAACCAAAGGGATTTCAGGGGGAGCAGCAAAACTTAAGAACTAAACAGGTTTAAGTGAGCAATGACAATATTAACGAGCTCAATATCAAGCACAAAACAAGGGAAGGAAACATTGGGCTAAGCCAGTGGGAGCACTTGGGGAGAAATGGCAGGAATTCAAGAGTTTGTCTAAATACAGAGTTGTACTGACTTCATTTAGCTGTGCTGTAAAATACTTTGAGTAAATAAGGTCAAAAGACTAAGTAGACACTTTTCTTTCTCTATAAACCATGTTTGGAGTTCAAATATTGGGAAATAAATTTGAAACTAACCAGCAAAAAATCTGTTTCTAAGCCAAAGGAAGAAGAATTGAGGAAGTTTTTGCTTGCTAAGTTAAATGAGAACAAAGACATGAATGGAGAGGGACAAAGAGGGCAGAGCCAGTGAGAACAGGGTGGGGGGAATTACCAAAGGAAGAGTCTTGCTTTGTCTCCACTACTGATAGATTGGATCATCTTCTCTAGCCCCATTGTCCCTGATATTGAGGCTTCTGAAGTGAAACTGGAGATCTTTTGTAACTTTAATGACACGGTTTTCCTGTACTGGCCCCAGAGGAGACAGGCCCAGCTCAGAGCACTCTGAGAATGCACCAACAGCTCAAAGTCAGCAAGTGCTGTGTTCTGCTGCTCCAGGGCCTGTGCTGGCCCTGCAAACAGCTCTGCCATGGCCGGGGGGATCCTCACCCAAAATCTTCTACCTTGCTAGGGGGCAGAGGGAAATCCAGCAGGAACAATCAGCTGGCAGCCTTCCAGTTCGCCTTGGAAAACAAGCGGATTCCTGGTACAGCCCAGGTTCCTTTTGATGCCTCCAGAAGTCACTCTTTCCTCTTCATTTGTACATCTGACACCAATGCTGGGAGCAGCCAGGTGCCCTGGATACAAACATTCCTGTCTGAGCTGGTCCCTGAAATCAGGGTCTGAATTTTCTGTTCTGAACCTCTGCTTCAGTGTAAAAGTTGAATCCAGACAGCTCAGTGTTTAAGGAATGCAGAAGTGAGATGTGACTTCTGCTGTTAATATTTTGTCTCTCCCTGCTGCAGTGTGGGCAATTCCTTTCTCTCTCCTGCTGACCCTCTCCTGTGGGTGCTGAGGGTGTGACAGACGTGTCCATACCCTTCCCCTCACCTATGGACACAGTGACTCCAGTGAAGAGATCTGGCCAAGAGCAGCAGGCAAGTCACAGCAAAAGTTAAGAATAGAGCCTGACTTTCCCATCTCCCAGGTCCCACCGTATTTCCGTGGGGAACCACTGGAAATGTGTGAGAAATGCAACTGTCAGGGACAGGGCAGAAAACAACCATTTCCAAATCCCCTCAATAACTCCCAGGATTGCTGTAAGTGCTCAGTGCCAGCCTTCAGCTCAGTCAGGTCCTACCACAGCCTGTCCTTTCTGTCACTTCTCCCAACTTTTAATTACATCCTTGGGTAACACAGCTCTCTGTGCTCTGTGCATACCTGGAGGGAGGTGCATGGCCTGGTAGCTGCTGTAAAGGATTGAGAATTAATTACAAAGGACACAGGGTTTGAGCTCCTCTCAAGTGCTTGCTCAGCTGTGTAACCTTGGGGCAAGTCACTCGGCTGCTTTGTGCCCAAGCAAACCCAGCTGCAAAGCATCTTGAAAACCATATGGTGCACAAGGTTTAAAGTGCTCAGGAGAATGATGAGGGATGGAGGAAAAAAATCTAAAAAAAAAAAAAAGAAATTCTCCAGCTCCTGCTGCCAGTGGGGTTAATCTGGACCGAATCAATGTAACTGAAAAGAGAATTTTCTTTGATATCCAAAAAACACCCCACACTCTCAAATCTTTTTTTCCTTTCCTCTTTTGACTTCTCTCTCTCTCGGGTTAATTTAAACCTTCAGTGAATACATGTTTTTCCCTGGCAGCCTGAAGTTTCTAATTCAGGATCAGGTTCTACATGACTAAACTTTGATCTTTTACATGATTATTTTTAGGCACTTCATTCCATAGCATTCTTTTCTCCCTGCTTTTCCTGCTGCCATTGCCTTCAGTGGCACAGGGATGTTCTGGGGCTCAAGTACTGCCCCCCAAACTAAATACTGAGCTTTATTGCCTTCTGGAGATGGTACACCCTGGCTTAGAACCAGTGTCAAAGCCACTCCAGGATTTGTATTGCTGGTCAAACAAAGGAAACACGGAAGTTTCTGTAGCAGAATAAATGTTTGCCACATGTTAGTATTTAAGAGAAGACTTAAGTGTTTCAATATTTTTTTGCTTTAGCTAAAATGTAGCATTTTTTCCCCACAGAAATGTGGGAATACTTACTTATGTAAGGAATATTTGTGTGTGCTTCCAAAGCAGGGTGTCCAAGATTGCAAGAAGGGAAACCAACATATTTTAGTCTAGTGTAAACAAGGAATATTTAAAGATGTGAGACATATAGGAGCCATTTTTTCCACTACTCAGGAAAGACCTTGCATGGTTTTATTAATCACTAATGAAAATAAAACATTGACAGGTTTGAAATTGGATGAACTTTCTTCCCAAATAAGAAAGGATTAGAGCTGAAGGAGTGAGTTACAAACAAAACTCACAGGCTGGAGCACCAAAATCTCTTAGGCTTTTATGAAAACAAATGCCAGCAAATTGTCTTCAGCACATTTAGCCCTTGTTATACAGCCCTGGGATGGCAAAATACTTAATTGCCATTCAAAATAGGTGATCATTTTTCCAATAGAAAAATACTTCAGTTTGTGTGTCTCTGACAAACTGCTCTGATTCACGATATTGAATCTTTGGGTTCGATATCTGAGCTGTTGAATCTTTAGATTCAATATTTGAGTTGTGCTATCAGTAACTTAAAACATTGAAATTCTGTGCCATAAATACCATTCTGAAGTGCCTGTGATGCCTAATGACACTGCTCAAACATCAGACTGTTAATTAACCGTTAGCCAAAGTGGAAATCCCCTGACATCCTTGGAGACCCCATTTGGGTGATTGAATTTTCCTTTTCTCCTCCTACCACCACTTGAAACCGAATTTAAAAACAGGTGCAGGTCATTTGTGGGAATAAAAGAATTTCAAATTAATGAGAACACAAGACATTCTCAATGTCCAGCTGTGGAGAACAATAAATAAACCAGAAAGTGAGCTCTAGATAAAGCCAGTCCAGGTAAGCAGAGTTGTCTAATGTGGGGACACAACAAATACAAAATACATTTTCAAGTCCTGGGCTCCACAAATCCTCATCAGATTCAATTTACATTTGTGCTGCTCAGGATGAGTAGAAGGTTGATTTAGCTCAGTATTTCCAGCTGAAACTGAAGCTGGGAGTGTTTTTGTATATCCATCAAAGCTGGGGGTTCCCTTCTGTGTCCCTGAGTATAAATCATTGAGCTTCACTTCATGCTCCTGTGAGTTGCTTACATGGGTCTGTTTGAAGGGAGGGTTGTTGCATCATGAATTTTAGCTGGTCCAACCCCTCTCACTGAGAACAGATTTATGGAAGTTCATGTTGTTGTTACTGGACCCATAAACCAGGGCAGCTCATGGGATACAGCTTCAAATCCTTGGAATGCTGGGACACAACTGAGGCACTGCCACTGAAGTGTGTGTTAACATGATCTGGATGCTCTGTGAGGTACCCAGGGAGGTCTGGTCTTCAGGAAAACAACAAAATCAGGAATTCACGAAGCCAAAAATTTCAGGCACCATAAAACATTTTCGTCTTTAAAAAAATCCCCAAAGCTAATGATTTAAACATACTTCACATGAAGGCCTTGTTTCTTTAAAACAGCATCTTGAACTTGAAGTCTAACTAGCTTGGGAAAAAAAAGTTCAATAGTTTTGGGTGACCTCTTTGCTCTTGATCAATACAGTCTGGTTTTGGGCAGGTTTTAAGCCACTCTGATCTATTTGTCCCTCTCTTGTTGCCATGTAGGAAACCTTCAAAAGAATGAGAAGTGTGAGAAACTGCCTACAAAATGCTGCTCCAAGGATGTATTTTGCCCAAATAATCACTTTCAGAAACAGTCAACATGCTTTTAAAGAAAAATAATCTGGAAAAATAGTGATTTAAAATAAAAGCTCCCTTTGAAGAGACCCTGTAAGGCTGAAGCTTGCATTTGAACAAATCTCTCCCCAAGTTTCTAAGAACACTTTCTAAACTGCCATTTAAAAACTTTCAGTTACTACTTTTCACTATTTATGCTCTTCATTGACTTTTTGCCTTTATTTTCCACTCTTGTGACCAAACAAATCTGGTACCTTTTGCTTGCTCAGTACAGCTCACGTCACTCTCCTCGTGTCCTGCTGCAGTTCATTGCGTGTGTTTGGGAACACCACCATCCCCAAGAGAAGCAGGATTTAATTACTTTTATTAATGAAATCCGCTTTTGAAGACTAAACCATTTGACTATGCCCCTTTCAAAATGGAAATAACTGGGAACAAAACCTATTTTTTAAAATCGCAGTTTGCAAATTCTTCCCTCAAAGAGCAAATTCTGTGAGTTCCTCTGCAGACCCAGTAAGTTCTGTAGCTTCCTTTGCAGAAACAGCTCAGACTTTATAGGGAAGATGTGAAGACCAAGTGGAAGAGCCTCTCACACAACCTGAATTGTTACAGCTCGTTGCCTTTCCAGGGAAAACAATTGCTGTGGCTCCCTCAGAGCGTGGTGGCAGATTTCCCTTTGGAGGTCAGGGCCTGTTTCAAGCGCCTCTTCAGGTCCTGCATGTTGGGGGACTTGGGCCGGACGAGGTGGAGGCCGCGGCGTTTCTCTCCGTTGCAGCTGCCGATGATCCTGCTGAGCTCCTGGCACAGCTGCTGGAAGGCCTCGTGCACGCCCTCGCAGTTCTCCCGGGCCGACACCTCGTGGTAAGTGCCCCCCAGCTCCCCGGCCAGCTGCAGCCCCTCCTTGGAGGACACCTGCCTGGCCCGCAGCAGGTCGCCCTTGTTGGCCACGAGCAGCAGGGGGATGTTGGCGTTGGGGTGGATCCTGCGGATGTGCTGGTGCAGCGGGCGCAGCACGCGGTAGCTCTCGTAGTCCGTGATGGAGTACACGAACACGAAGCCGTCGGCCCAGTAGATGGAGCGGTTTATCTGCTCCTGGCAGCAGATGCTGTCGGTGTCATCCTGTGCCAAAGCAAGAGGGGGACGTTAGGAAAAGAGGGAGCAGAGAGAGCCACGGCAGCGCCGTGGGACCGGTGCGTGGGGTTGGGGTGGGGCTGTCGGTCACTGCACCGGCAGAAACCTCTCCCAACATACCGGGGACAGGGGACACTCCAGTCACACTGGGCCAGGGGGCTCAGCCTGGAGAAAAGGAGGCTCAGGGGGGACCCTCTGGCTCTGCAACTCCCTGACAGGAGGGGGGAGCCGGGGGGGGTCGGGCTCTGCTCCCAGGGAACGAGGGACAGGAGGAGAGGGAACGGCCTCGAGCTGTGCCAGGGGAGGGTCAGGTTGGACATCAGGAGGAATTTCTTCACAGAAAGGGTGGTCAGGCTTTGGCAGGGACTGCCCAGGGAGGTGGTGGAGTCCCCACCCCTGGAGGTGTCCAAGGAAGGACTGGATGTTGCTCTGAGCTGGGGGACAAGGTGGGGATGGGGCACAGGATGGACTCGATGATCTCAGAGCCTTTTCCAACCTCAATGATTCTGTGATTCTGTGAAAAATAAATAAGATGGTTTTACTATAAGCAGGGATTTCCATGGTTACCTCATGTTGAGATACCTGGAGGTCATTTGGGGAGACTGAAGAGCCATTGTGTGGTCAGGAGCTGGTGGGTTGCATGTTGTTCTGATCACTGTTGCTGCTGCTGACTTACTGTTTTGCTTACTGGTCTGGCAGGAAAGTGAATGGGAAAGCACGTAAGGCAGTGAGACCAATTTGGGCTCACTGCCAGGGGACCGTGCGGCCGGGGCAGGGAAACAACCTGATAGGTGGATGGGAACAACCACTGAACTGTACCAAAAGGCAAGGATTGCCCTTTGAGGAAGAGGGAAGCAGGGCCTGGTGTGGGAGGTGCGAGGGGGTGGTTATGTAAATCAAGAGACCTTAAAAAGGCTCCTCCCCTCCCAGTCAGGTGTGCTCGGACCTGGTCTTTCTTTCATGTTATTTGGCCGTCTTTGAAAGTTTAATTAGAGATATTTCTCACAATTCTGTGAACATACTGCAGGTCAGCAGTAAGGTGGAGTGGAGAGGGGTCAGAGCAAACTGGTTCAAGAGAACAGCCAAAATACTGCTGTTGGAAAGTTTGCTCTGTGTTCCATGGTACCAAACCCATCAGAAACTCATGCTGATGTTGTGGATAAAACTGTCCTGGGCACACGAAGGGCATTATAAAATTCAGCAGGCTTGGCACACAGTTGTCCCTCAAGGTGTATTTTAGGGCGTTTTCCAATCCTTTATTCAGTCTCCATGGACAGAGGTTCTCACTAACTCTGTCTGGTGAAGCATGACAGGTTTTCCTGCCTTGCCCATCTCCAGACAGTCAAAGACATTTGAAAAAGCAATTTTTTACAAAGAACCAATCCCAGGAACTGGAAAGGAGGTGAAATCTCCCTGCTGGTTTGCAGAGCAGCAATGGGTTCATATTATTTTTTGCTGGTCACACATTTGCTCAGCCCATCCCCATCCTACTCACACAGCCACAACAATGCCCAGCACTGGGAACATAAAGCTGAATGAGACACTGGAGCTTGAAAACAGATCAGCTCACTTTTCAAGATGAATTTCCAGCTAATCCTCTGCCCTTTGTTATCCCTGCTGGCTGTGACCCAGCCAGGGAGATCCCTGCTGCAGCCACTGCCTGCCTGCTGGGTGTGTAAGGACTGACATTCCTGTCAATATTACAGGATTTCTGCAACTCTGGCATTGCTTTCATATCCAACAAGGCACCAAGAATATTCTGTATTCGGCTCTTGATGAACCTGGTAGGAATTAGAGGTATTTTGGGGTGGGTTCAACATCATAAATACAGAGCCCGAACTTTTATTATTGTTGCTAAATTCCACTCGAGAAATTTTCATCAACTGTTAGAGCATATGCTCCATTATCTACAAATTAAATATCTGCCATTCACACTCATTTTAACAGAATTTGCATGTGTTCAGCAATCGCCCCAAAGAGATCACTTTTATTTAGGCACCTAAATATGGATCATAAAGCCCAACTTCAGGAAGCAGAGGTAGAAAAGAAGGAGTAAAAATAATCAGTTCTTTTATGGCAGATCAGACAGTAAAAAGAGAACTACTGACAAGTTCCTCTGTGGGAAGAAGGAAGCAGAATTTCTGAAGGCTCAGGGTATAAATTAGCCTTACAACTTCCATCAGGAGTTCTGCCAACGAACTGCTCTGTGGGAATATTTCAGGATTGCCCACAGAGACACCGGCTCATCACACCTTGCCGTTCCCTGCCCTTGCCAGCTCAGCGATGTAAATCCTGTGAAACCGTGTAACAAACGCCCTCCTCCCTCCCCCCGAGCCCCCCAGCCCAGCAGAGCTGCCCGCGGAGCGCAGGACCCTCCTCGCAGCCCTGCTGGGAGTCAATGAGGTGCAGCCCGGCCGGGCCGGGGCGGGCTGTGGGAAGAAGGGCAATTTGCGCTGTTGGTGCCTGGGCTGTCTCCAGGGTGGGGATAATTAACCACCCTCCGCGGCCTGGAAGCCTCTTTTCACTACCGAACTCCTTTCACGGCAAAACTAAAAAGCGCTAATTGCGCTGGCAAGCGTTTGGAAATGCGTTTGGAGAAGGTGAACGCTCAGGGAGCCCTAATGAGCAGAAATGCTCAGTTACCCCAGCAGGGCCCACCCGGGAGGGAGAGGGATGGAGAGTCCCCAGCGGAATGCTTTATTCGGGAAAATCAAAGGCTAATGGGCTACTTTTTAAATGGAAATCTCTTCTCCAAAATGGGTTTTGAAGCACACACAGCCCTTTGCCATGTATAGACCAGCAATGAATCACCCAACAAAGCCGGTTATCTGCTTGCTTCTGTTTCTCTCTTAAACATTAACATTTCTGGTGGCTTGAATCCCGAGGGATTCCACATGACTTCCTCCTGGAACACTGTACTCAGCCCACAGAGTGCAAGAAACTGTCTTCCCTAAGGATTCTAACAAAAACCCAACCTATTCTCAGTCTTAACCAGTCCTGTTAGGGAACGGTGCCTTCAATTATTGCAGATGCACCATTTGATGCACACAGACACAGGCTGATATAAGATAAGGGTGTCTGTGGGAATTGTTGGGACAGTGAGACCTTTGACTGGGACAAAGAAAGTGAAACTCCTTCCTAACTGAGTTAAAATCATGTCTGACTGAGGAACCTCAGCTGTTGGCAAGATGGAATTTTGTGGAGCTCTGGGTAGAGTCACTGAACTACAGGGCACAGCCTTAATCAGAAGAGGAAAACTAGAAAATAACATATATCTGGTCTGAAAGAGGGAATTAAATCATTCCACTCCCTCTTTTCTCCCTGGGATAGAAGGGAGAGGGGGTTCCCTGTGTGAAGGGCTCATCAGGCAGCCCCAGTTGTGCCTAATCCCCACCCACTGCTCCTCTTTGCAGGTCCTGCCTAAGCAAGCTGGCAAAGGGCCTGTGTGCTGCAAAGTCCCACTTGAATATCTGGAGCACTTCCACAGCAGCTTTTGTTTGCTTTTTAGTGTCCAGAGCAAATGAGGGCTCCTCTCTTCCCTCTGTGTCTTCCAGAAGCAGCAGAGTGTGGAACCTCATCAAAGCTTTCCACTTAATCTGCTTCCAGTCAGGGGAGAAGTTGGACATGGGAACTGAGGCTGGGGGAGCTTTGCTTGTCCCGTCCTGCAAACCCAGGATGGAGCAGTTCTACAGCCCAGAAATGCACCCCTGGGGCTGGGTGGGTCAAACAAGTGCCCAGAGCTGTCCAGGGTGGCCTGAAAGAGGAGGAGAGAAGGTGCTGTTCCCATCCAGACGTGTTTGGCCAAGTCTAAGTTTAGACTGAGGTTAAGGCCACACCTAGAAGTTTAGGCTTGATGGTGGAAAGAGAAGACCTGATTTTATCATGACATCTCAGCTATTCTATAGGAATTATTGCTCTCATGAGATTTCCACCATTCATGTAAAACCAAATTTCACTGCATTTCCTGCTGCTTTGACCCTATTTTCATCCTCCTGTTCTGCATGTGAAGCAGGTCTTCAAGGAAAGACATATCAATCTTAAATCCTGCTTGGAAAAACATTTCTAGAAACAAGTTCCTAGTGAAATATGAAATCTAGAACATCATAGAATCATTAATGTTGGAAAAGACCTCTGAGATCCTTGGGTCCAACAGAATATCTAAAACACTGATAGAAAGAGTGGTGTAGACAAATGCCAACACCTTAAAAATAAGGAACTAATTAAAAACAAAGCAAGGCAACCAGTGAAAAACACTGGAAATGACAACTGCTGGGAGGCTTCTCCCCTTGGAAAGGGATATTTTACTATATAAGAGAGACTTTGGGTGTGTAACAACGTCTGAGCTGAGCCAGCTGGGCCTCTGGGCAAGTGAGTTTTCTGCCATGTGGGGACAGAAACCATTTGACAGGAAATAAAACAACCAAGGAGTTATGATTTTCCAAGATTATGATTTTCCTGCTGTTTAATCTTGGGATGCACTAATGTGTTTGAAACAGATATGGGTTAATTTTGACTTACTCTTAAAAGAACCTGATTTAACCACTCCAGGGCTATTAGGTGGGGCTTAAGGTACCCCCCGAGTCCTGGGTTTAGGCCGAGGTATTTTCCTGCTGCCAGGTGGAGTCACTTAGAGATGGAGCAACCATGAGACAACAACTGTGTGGAAAAGCACTGAGCAGATGTTTTACCTCCAGTGAGACAAAGGGAGTGTCCTGCACCTGCAGAGAGATCTGTTCCCCATCGATGGTGAACTTCCTGGAATACAGAGCACCTGGAGGGAAAGGAAGATGGTGAGTCAGGGACTGGAGGAGAAAAGAGCACAGAAAGGCAAAAGGGAACTGTTGGAAGGCAGAGTTTTGTGGGATATGTAGCTGCCCATGGGGAAGGGAACAGCCCTGCAGTGGTTGTTGGCTCAGTGGGAGAGGGTGTTTGCTGGGGGGGATGTTTTGGATGGACAGCCAGGATGGGGGCTGGGAAAGAGGCTCTTTGTACTGAATCTAATACTCCAAGTGGGGGCATAAATCCCAGTCAGGTTTCACCCCCTGTTATTCACTTTATAAAATGTGAACTGCATTTATATTTTATCTCAAACCAAGATATCCAGGTGTTGTCTGTAAGAGGAGTGAGCTATTTCCTACTGCATTTTTCTAGATGTCTTTAAAAAAGAAAAGCATTCTAGTCTGGGACAGTGAGTGACTGTATCTAAACCACTCAGATACTCTTTGGGATTTGCATGATTTTAGCAGAGTTTGGTTGAAATCCCCGAAGACTGGACGCTTTGAACCTGACCTCTGGTTATTCTGGATGACACATGTTCAGGGCCAAGTGCCAGTTCAGACCATCCAGGACTGATCTAGCTTTAATAAAACCATCACTAGTCTGGCCTGGAACTTAATTTTGTTACTGGAGTGGGAGTTAAATGACAATGAAAATCTAAATCTTGATCTTCTGAAATATCTGTGGTTGTGACAAGAACAACTTCAGAGGTTGATGTCATCATGATTTTTCTTTAGAACTTAACACACGTCACATGGATGTGTGAAGAAGTGCTTTCTGCACAGCTGGGGTGTACAGCCCTTCTGTCTGCTCCAAATACAATAGTCACTGCTGCCTCTAGAACAATGTGCTGCAGCTCCAACCCAGAGGAATCCCAGCTGCTGGAGAGGCAGCAGTTCAGATTAACAGGGAGGTCAGCTAGTGACAACAATGCTTCTGAAAATCATCTTTGTTTCAAGGAAACAAGTGGGTTTATTCCAGTGGCAAAGAGTCTGAGCCCACAGAAACATTTACAATACAAGGCAATTTAGCACCTGAATGCAAAGTGTTTTAATACGGACTGTGAGGGGATCTAGCCCTTGTAGGATTCATTTGGGGCTTTTTAAACAGGTCAGACCTTAAGCTGAAAAGATGGCACTGTTTTATGGGAACCACGAGCAGCCAACATGTTATTTCTGTTGTGACCAAAGAGCAGGTTCTCCAGAGGAAGGAGAACACATCTGAGTGATCCCAAATCCACTGCCACCTGTTTCTTCTTTCTGGGATATTTAGCTCTTCTCCAGCACGGCCGTTGGCCTGGGAGCTTAATGAGGAAAGCATGTGGTTCCCAGCAATGGCTCTGGCAGGAATCCACTGCACAGCTCGAGTCTGACTTGATGTACAACCTCCCCGGGAAGGGATGATGGAACAGGAAGAGAACCAGTGCAGCCAAGCATCAGGGTTACCCGGGGTCAGCGAGGGGGAGCTGTCAGGAGGAGCTTTCACATTGTATTTCATCAGACAGGCAGAGATCAAAGGTGTCGTGTACTGCTCCCTCTTTCCTGCTCCTCATCCTGAGTTCTGCAGGCACCTCCAAAGTGAAGCAATCGCTGCTTGGAATCCTGTCCACCTTCACCCAAACCCTGTGAGCTGCTTGTGCCAGTAGGAATGAGCACAGGGGACGTGATCCATCCTACAAAACCAGCCAAATCAGTCGGCATTCCTTGGAACAGAGGCTGTGAATGAAACAGGAACACACCCTCTGAGGTGCCAGCATTAAACAAGGAATGAATGGTCACTTTGCTTATCTGAGGGAAAGGACTTCAGTTTGGAAGTCTCCCTGGTCATAACAGCCTCTGAAAAAAGGGAATGCACAGAAAAACCCCTGAGCTGCATTTTACACCCTTTGGAGTTGCTTTGGCTTCCCTGGGGTTCCAGGGAGAGCAGCGTTGGGTTTCCACGGTTTAGTTGTTCCTTGAGTCTGTGTTTTAATATAGGTATGTCCCCAAGCAAACCTTTTACTCTGATCCTTTTCCATCGAGTAGGAAAAAAAATAGCTGAAAGGATCATAAATAATGAGCCGTTGATTTATTGCTTTCATAGCTTGAGGCTATTAACTGAAAATATGCACCTTATGGACATCTAACACCGCCTGGCTTTCCTGTAATGTGCACCAGTCACTACAGAGAGGAGATTTATTTTCAAACTATCTGCAGTCCTGCTGGAGAGAGCAAACTCACCAGTGTTGGCTTCATAGTCCCCAATAAATCTCTTGGTGAGAAAACGCACAACCAGGGCTGCAAAACAATGACAAAAATATGGGCCTTAATGGGAACCAAAAGCAATCTGTGCAGAACACATGTAGCATCTTCCTGGAAGAATTAGTCTCATATGAAACCAAGTTAATCTCTGGACTGCTCACATGTTACTTTGCAAATGCTTCTCTCAACACTCACAGAGGAAGATCTGGGGCCAGGCTGTGATACCTGATCCAGAGTTTTTCACAGCTTGTGTTGGAAGTGAGCCCTTGGTTCAGTGTGGCTGTTCAGGGTGGGACACAGAGGTTGGTTCCTTGTGACTGGAGGTAAAACTATCTGTGCTTTGCTCTGAAATAATGTAGAAAAGGACTAACAAGCCAGTGGACTGCAGCTAGTCCAAATACCACATTTGTGTCCTGTGTCATACAAGAAGGGAGGGGGATGGATGGTTCTTCCTGGTCTTAAAAACCCTCCTCAAACCCAGGAGTGAGACCAGATCACACCCAGCAAACAAACTGCATATGCTCTGCACACTTGTGTCTCCTGCAGCACCCCGGGCCTTCTTATTCCCCTCAACCTGTGCTGCTTTTACATTAGAACATTTTCCTTTTTCTTGATACTTTAGAACACTTAAAATACCATCGTGGGAACAGTAACTTATGTTCCTGTAGTGCTTTCCTGTAGTAGATTCCTAGGAACTTGCAAAACCACTTAATTACTGCCTAAATAAAATGGTTTATTCTGCAAACAACTCTTATCATAGATTTCATTTTAAACAATCATTTTTTCTCACAGTGGTCACCCTTTAGCCCCTTTAGATGAAACTGCCTGTGCAATGATCTTCAACAAACTACTTAAAAATAACAGGGAAATGTGTCTGCTTCAAAGCCAGTCCAATGAAATATTTTACTGAATCCTGTGGAACCTCAGATGTAATCAATCAGATCTGGTCTTAATAATTTCTGACATCATGAACCATATATTCAAAAGTAAAAATGCTCATTTTACCCTCTTTCCTTTCCCACTCCTTTGGAGAATAATCCAGGAAGACACCTCTTGTACTCTGCTGTTTGTCTGCAGAGCATAAAATAGCATAATACAGCAGGGGGATAAGAGCCACTGGTGCCATTTTGGGGGGTGGAAATTTAGACACGGTTCAATAACTTACACAAGGCCAGGTAGAATCATCTGTGAGCACAAAACTCCCAGCTCTGCCCCTCCCCTCTCAGCCTCTGCTGCTCACACCCCCCGACAGCAAAGCTGCCTCACTTTAGAAAAAAATAATAACTCCAAATGTTCAAGCTGCACCAAATTCCGCGGTGTTGGGTTTGCATGAGGTGCAGAGGAGCTGGGAATTCCCGCTGGCAGGAAAAGCAGGGAACACACCTGAGTTCTTACCTGTCTTGCCGACGCTGCTGCCGCCCAGCACCACGAGCTTGATGATCTTGTTGGGCGCAAGGTCACCCACGGGGTACTCCGGGATGGGCAGCAGGAGGAAGTTAGTGGAATACTGGGACATGGTATCCTGAGGGATGAGCCGCATGCCAGGAATGAGAGCTGCTGCGCTCGGCCCGGGAGAGAAAAGAAGGAAAGCGGCCCCTCGGAGCCTGTTCCTGGCCGTGTATCCTTGGGGAGAGGAGCCTTCTCATCTCCTCGGAGCAGTTTTCCCCAGGAATGTGAGAGCGCCCGGCCTCCTCTTCCCGATGGCTCAGCTCAGACAGAGACTTTGGAAAGCAAAAGGGAACTTTTTAATCAGCCCCCGTGAAAACTGACTCCTCCATCCCGCAGCCAATCACGAGGGGAACCGGGACATTCCTGGAGCCGGGCACGAGGAGCCTGAGCCTCCATCCCCGGCTCTCCCCGCGCTGCCTCCCTCCCCACGGCCTGTTTGATGTGCTGCCTGTCCCTTGGCTCTCTGCTACCACGAGATTCCTGTGTTTTCCAGCCGTCACGATACGGTCACCCCGTGCTCTGCCCTAATCCCACCCTGAATAACCCCGTTCTGCCTGTCCAGTTCCTTTGCGTTTTCAATGGGCTCCAACCCCGCTCTGTTGTTCTCCCTGTCCTATTGTGTCTGCTTTGGGCCCCTTTGGAGCTCTGATGGGACGCTCCTCTTCAGGAAAACAAACACATTTCCCCCCCACACCCCCCCGAGTTTTTAGGCAGCTGTGGGTTATTCCCAAATCCCAGCTGACATGTGTGTCCTTCAGGATACATTTGATCTGCTGCTTTATACGTGTTGTTGGTCCTAATGGCCCTCTGGAACGTGGGTCAGCATCAGGTTGGGACACTGCAGCTTTTCCAAACATGGAAAAGGGAATTTAGGGCTGGTGACAGCCTTGGGAAGCTGAGGAAGGGTGAGCCAGACAGAGGGAGTGAAGAAAGAATGACTTCTACAGGAAAAGTGAGTGTAGTTTTAGGACAGCTGGGGCTGTGAGGGCTGTGGGGATGAGAGCCTGTAACTGTACAGCAGCTACAATCAGCTCTCAGCTCCCAGGGATAACGGGCAGGGAAGAAAAAGGGAAGAACTCTGGGGAGGGAATGACCCAGATAAAGCAAAACTGCAGATAATATAAACCAGATGGAAATTAAAGAACAGCAAGTGTAGTTGGAGCATTTAATCTTTGAAAGACTTCTCTGAAGGGGACTGGAGAAGCAGGAGAGGCAGAGCTGCAGAGACTGCTGAGCCATGGACTGTCCGGCTGTGTGGGACACGTGGATATGAACAGAGATAATCCACCCACAGCCCCTGGAGAGCTGAAGGTGCAGGTTTTCCCTGTGCTCTGCACACTCCTGGCAGGCAGGAGTAGGCTGGGCTCGCTGCAGAGGGGCTGGAGACACCAAACAGCCTCTCTGTGCCCAGCTGCTTCCACACCACTGCCCTCATCCCCAGCACACACCTGAGCCCTCCCCAGCAGGGTCTGAAGGGCAAGAGGGGGTTGTGAGATACAACAAGAGGATGGGAAATCATCCCAAAGCTCTGGGGACTGCCGTGACCTCAGTTTCCACACCAACACCAAGAGGATGTGAACTGCCCTTAGAAAACCCCAGCTCCAGGGCAGAGCAGTCCAGTGAAATCAGCACAGGAATCTGAAGATTTATGAACGTGTCACTTCTCTAAGGTTCTGTTTCCCCTCTAAAAACCACTTGTGCAGCACTATTTGTGCAAGCACAGGGTGTTGTTGCTGTGACCATCATGACAGTCAGCTGAGGAAGAGGTGGAAAAAAAGTCTGGAGGCCCACGCAGCTCGTGGTCCTGGGAGGGAGCCTCCAGATCATGTGCCTTTGGGGACATGGCTCCTGTGGGAATGGTTTTCAAATCTTCCACTGTAAATTTGCTTCCGGGGACTTAAAACACTAAAGCACTAAAAAAAAAAAAATCTTTTCCGGGGAAATTTCTTTCCCAGGCTGCTTTAGTCTCACACAAGTTTTGTAGGAACAGGCAAAATGAGAGGAGAAACAGGAAAAAAGCTCGAAATCTTGTGGTCAATTAATATGGCCCTTTGAAATGTGTTCTTGAGCTGGACATGTGATAAATCTGGGATCAGTGGCAGTGTGTCACTGTCTGCCTCGCCAAGGGAAGGATGTAGGAACCTTTGTTACACTTTGCTATTAAAAGCATATGTTAGTGAGTAATATGAAAGGATTCATCACAACAGTCCTCCTACAAAACCGAGCAGCAATATATCTGTCAGCTTCTAGGTGGCCACAGGAGTTTCAGCCCAGGAAGAAAAGCCAGAAAAGAATATTCCATATGTGCAAAGACATTCCTGGAAGAAAACACCTCTGCTGGTTGCTCCAAGATTAACTGAAACAATTCAGGTCCTCCTGGACTGTCGTGCCAGTGCTGAGGAGGTCCAGAAAGACCCCTCTGAAGGGAGCCGGTCGCAGTCACACAGAGCTGGAGGGGGAGCTTCAGTGTAGATAAATGTAAGGCAGAAAAAGGATGTAAACTGTGCTTAAATGAAGCTGAACTGGGATGTGGGATGTGAAAACGAGGAGTCACGACCACGGGAGCAGAGCAGCTGCTGCGTGAGGAGCCTGGGAAAGCTGTTTGCCATGTGCCGGAGGGATGGATGCTGTGCTGACACGGGAGAGGAGATGTGTGGGGGCAGCAGTGAGAGCAGTGGTGCAGGAAATGTTGAACTGCTGCTCTTGGCGGCTGGGAGGGCTTGTGGTTGCTTGAAACAAATGTGAAAGCAGTTGTAGGCTGCATGTTGGAAGCAGACCTGTTGATTTCCAGTTCCTTTGCAATGGGGTTTAATCTGAATTTCTTGTGCACCAGCCCAGGCTTCTTGTGCTTCTCCCCAAAGCTTGTTCCACTGGGTGCAGAAATCTCTGTCCAGAGAGAAGGGCTTTGAGTAAGCATGAAAAAGCAGCATATTCTCCAAAAGTTTTAAATCTATTCTCAAGCTCCTCATAACTTTTAGCCTCTAATTGTGAAAGAATTCAAGCAGGATATGGAATCAAACCCAGAGGTTTTCAGACCTGATCCTTATCTGATTTTCTTGATTGTCAGAAGAGTCTTTTCATGGAGTGAAACCACGCAGAAGGATTCACACTCTTTGAGATTGTGTAACCGTTGGCATGTAAAATAACAATTGTTTTAAAAGGAGATTTTAATTATTTGTGCACAATGGACTTATATTTAGCTAAGAAACCCATGTTTTAAATTCAAATTCTCTTGGAAAAACAATAGCTTAAATTAGAGGGAGAATGTTTGCAAAACTGAGAGTGACTTTGGAAACATTTGGAGATTTCACAAACCACTCCTTGGGCTGCTCATGCAAAGATTTGTGCCTTTGCATGTTGTACAGAAATTATGCTACTTTCACACCAAATTTTTTACAGATTTATTTATTGGTCTGTGTTGCTTTTGGCTCTGGTTTTATAAGATTTTCTATTTATATTGTTGTTGGCCCTCCTACACATCTTCAGAGATGAAGCTTTCCAAAAATAAAAATATTTGCCATTACCACAGTGCTTGTCACAGGGGGATGGCAGGTTTCTGTTAAAACTGGTTGTAATTCTTCCTCGTACAAAAGGAGTAAGAGATGAGCGGAGCCACAGCAACCTTGCAAAGATCCCACAACGCTGGGAAACGGTTTCCCCTCCTGCCTAGCATTGCCAAAAATGAGCTTTCCTCCAAAAATCCATTTGTGACGGTTACATTTGCCTCTAACTCATCTTTTGTACAGTATATTGATGTTAGTGGGGCTTGGATGGGGAAACAGGGCTCATTTTGGGGCAGAAATGGTAAATGTGGTCCTGGGGAAAGGCCACTTGCTTTGGCAGATGCTGAGATAAAACTCGTGTTCACATCCCCCGCTCCTGAATTTATTCCAGCCCCCAGCCCACTGATCCCTGCAGCTCTGCCTGACCCTCTTGGTTGCAAACTTGAGGCCCAAACTGGACTTAACAAAAATTTTGTTTTAACCACCTTTTTGCTCCCAGTGACTAAATACCCTCAAAGCTGGGAAAGGCAAAAGAGGAGGAGATAAGAAAGGAACAGAAAGGGATGGGATGCGCTCGAGGAATCAGACTTGGTGTGCTTTTAGCCCCATAATTGTACCCAGCACCATGTTGTTCTGATCCTGAGGCCAAGGGGGCAGGAAATGTCCTCAGATGCTGCTGCTCCAGCTGTGATAAATCATGTTTGATTCTATTTTGGGATGTGAGAGAGATGATCATTTAAGTATACAGTTCAGTGTGGTTAAACACTGCACAGATCCCACTATTCCTGCTTTTCCTGTCCCTAATTTTGATGCCTTGCTGTTGATGGCAACCCTGTAAGGAACACATGTCCTGTGTCACTTTTGGGATCTTTTGTAAGGAGTGGAGTTTTTTAGGTAACTAAACACCCTCCCTGGGGAGCCTGGAGGGGATGACGTGGAGAGCACAGTGCGCAGAGGAGAACATCGCTGCAGGCAGAGACTCAAATAGAATGGAAACATCTTGGCCTCATAAAAAACTTTGTGCTTTGGAAACTGAACCATCCTCCCTTCCCCACAGATATTCCCACAAGGTCAGGGCTGGGGTGTGGAAATGGTCCTGGAACTGCTGGGAGTGTGGGCAGGGAGCTCCAGCCACATTTGGACAGCCCTCAGTTCATGGTTTGAGGAGGAATGTGGAATAGGAGCCAGGTCCCTCCAGGTTGGACACAGTCTGGAGATGTGCACCAGTCAGATGACAAATATTCCTCCCCATCCCTGGTTTCACGAGGGATGAGCCTCTGAGGAGCATTTGCTCTCAGTGTGTGCTGAGGGAAGAGCTGTGTGGTGGCTCAGGATTTTCCACTCCTTTTCCCCTGAGGAAAAGGACACTGTTGTCATTCCCAGCTCTGTGCTCTGAAAGCTCTGAAAGCCTTTTTGTGATTGTGTTGGAGCAGGACACGTGGTGTGGGACAGCACAGTGTCACTGGGGCAACACCACTGTCCCACCCTCACAAAATCCCATTTCTGGGCACTCACAGTCCCTGGGAGGAGTCTCAGGAATGGCAGTTTCCTCATGCTCCAGGCTGGCTGTGGTTCCCCCCTGGCTGTGGGGTTGGTGACATTCCCCAGCTCCCCATTTTCATCCACCACGAGGATGAAAATGTGCACTGTCCATCCCACCGGGGCCCCCAGCCTCCACCCTGGGCCAAAGGAATGTCACACTGGAGCCTCCAGTCTCCTGCCTGAGCCCAGGGAATCAGGGAATCATAGAATACCCTGGGTTGGAAGGGACCCACAAAGACCGTGGAATCACAGGATCATAGAATGTTAAGGGTTGGAAGGGACCTTAAATCCCATCTTGTTCCACCCCCTGTCATGGGCAGGGACACCTTCCACTAGCCCAGGTTGCTCCAACTGCATCCAACCTGGTCTTGGATGTTTCCAGGGATGGGGCAGCCACAGCTTCTCTGGGCAGCCTGTGCCAGGGCCTCCCCACCCTCACAGCCAGGAATTCCTTTCTAATATCTAAACTAAATGTCTCTTCTTTCAGCCTGAATCTGTTCCCCCTTTTCCTGTCACAGTTATTGATGAACAGTCCCTCTCCAGCTTCCCTGAAGCCCCTTCAGATC